TTATGCTGTGTGGTACATTTTGGTGGCACGGTTTGGGTCAACTTGTCCCCTTAGAGGGAAGAGTCACTGCAAATCAAAGACAATGTTGTTCTGAGTGATCACCTTTATCCTATGATGAAACATTTCTATCCTAATGGGAGGGGTCTCTTCCAAGAAGACAGCACCCCCATCCGGAGGGTATGAGGGGGTCACTGAATGCTTTGATAAATATGAAAATGATGTGAATCGTATGCTATGGCCTTTGCGCTCACCAGATCTCAACCCAGTTCAACACCTATGGGAGACTTTGGACTAAACACCAAACACCAAATGAAGGCATATACTGTATTTTGGAAGAATGGTGTTTATCCCTCCAGTCGAGTTCAGAGACTTGGAGAAGCCAAGGTGCACTGAAGCTGTTCTGGTGTCACATGGTGGCCCAGCACCGTACTAAGAAACTTTTTATGTTGGGTTTTCCTTTCATTTGTCACATGTCTGTAGCTTTTCTATGTATTTACTTGTGTGCTGCATGTTTTTGTGTTCATGGAGTTTGCAAAGTAAGGGTGAACTGCAGATGATGTTTCTATATACAGTGTATGCAACACACATCGCTTATGTCATCATAACTTCCCATCAAAACGTTTGTACCTTCCAGTTATTTGGGTGAATGTGGTGTTGCAAAAAGCCTGTCTATTGAGAGATTCATTGTAATGTGTTTTTGGAGTTATTGTACCCATCTGTGCCTCATGTCTTAATATTAACTGACTCCAGTTGTGCAAGAAATGCTGTTTTGGACTTATGTTATTCATCTGTCTGTATAAAGAATGAGAAGAATTAATCATGTGCCCTGAGGGAAGGTGAAATTGGTTTATTTGTATGTAATGCCGAGTGACTGTGCAGCACTGTAAGTATTTACGTATTATATCATTGTGCTAGCATGTGCATGTTTTTGCAGTGAGTGGGCACAGACAATAGGCCTTTGTCTCACTGCATCCTATTTTTCTCCTGTGGGCTGACAAATGTTCATGCACACAAACACAAACACACATACACATGCCTCATCTACACACAGTTCCTCCTGGCTTCCGTCAAATACAACAGTTTAAAGACAGCAAAACAGGAACAATCTCATCTTCTCTTCCTGCCTCACACTTCCTGCCCTCCCCGTTCTGGTGTGATATATACTGCATATATATAGAGAGAAAGAGAGAGAGAGAGAGACAAACAGAGGAATTAAAAGAAAAAATAATGGGACAAAACAAAAGCTGGGGAGAAAGAGAGAGAGAGGCAGATGTGGCCTATAAAGTATAGTAAATGTGTGTGTGGCCTTGTTTTTCTATACTTGTGCAGCCCGAAATTCATGAGCTACTATCCTCGCGGGGACCGGAGGCTGGTCCCCACAAGGTAGTTTGTCAAATGTTACAAAAACAATGGGGTGTAAGGCTAGAACAAGTGTTGGCTTTGGTTAAAGTTAGGGTAAAGGTTAAGGTTAGGCAAGTAGCAGTTCTGGTTAAGGTTAGGGTACGTCTCCTGGAAATTAATGCAAGTCTGTGTAGGGACCTGGTAAGTGACAAAAACAGGGATGCGAGTGTGAGTGAGATGATGTAGCTTGAGATCAGGGGAAGAACTGTGGGTTCACAGTAGTTCAGGAGAGATTCTGTGACAGGCAGATGTTTACTGCGCATGACCAAACTACTGTACAAGCTTTTGATATGATGCATTTGAACAATTTCCTGTCATCGTTTCAGCTTGAGAGGAGATTAAACAAACTGCCTTTTGAGACTAGTAAAAAGTATGAGGAAATGTACTGTGTTACAAAAAATGACATCAACCAAGCTTTACAACACAATAACAACAGAAAGAGAAATAAAGTAAGAAAAGCAGCAAACAAAAAGCACTCTGAGAGGCAGTGGATAAAAACTAAAGCTGCAGACAAACATAAAACTAAGGAAAACCATACAGATAAAATATTTTGAATATTCTTTAACAGCTTCTTCTGAAATGCTCTAACTTTTTTAATTTACTAAGCTGGGTGGAATGATCTGCTCTGTGTTTTATTGTAAAAGTGGAATGTGTCAACAGCAGGGCTTTTCCCATAGGGTTTTTTGTGGCATCTCTATTTTTTTGTCATCCCTTGCTACATACATGAGAGGGTCATAATATTAGGAACACCTCTAAATGTAATGTAGTCCAGTACAACACCACCTTTAACTATGACCTCAATAATAAACATATAATTGAATTTATACTTTTATAATAGTTTCACTATAAACTAAAACATTTTGAGCTACACAAACACAGATGTTAAGGTGGAAATGTTGCACTGAATTGCATACAGTTGTACAGGCGTACCTAATAAAGTGGCCGGTGAGTGTTTAAGATACATGTGGATGTGACAAACAGTGCTTGATGTTAGGATCAATTTCTTGTTTGTTTTGGTGTTTTTGTGATATTTGTTGTTAATAACATAAAGATATAAATATATCTTTATATATCTATAAAGATAAAGAACGTCTCTTCCTTTAATGAACTTTTTAGCCTAATCACTTAACAAGCCCAAACTTAAGCGGCACTGTGTTGACAGGGTGAACGCACGCCAGACATGCTCACATTGAAAATTAAACAAGGAGGAGTTGACTGTTAACCTGCAGAATCCCTGCAGTTAATAATACTTAGCACACATAATTTAGCAACAGCCTTGTTCACCTTCACACTGAAAGGTCGCATTGCACATAACAAAGCTACTTTACAAGACGCACACACATATTTTCCAAAAACTCTAACACAGATAAACTCAGAGCACCTGATGAGCTGCGGTTGTGAAGAAGGAAGTGAAAACTCAGTCCATCTGCTCTGACAGGAAGTCAACAGAAGCCACATACAGGCATGCTGACGTCAATCAGAGCCACAGGAACACCTCCCCACGGCGCACACACACATACTCGCACACTGACATTACTCACTGTGATGCATATATACCATGATAAACACTCATTCTATCATACAGCTTGTCAATCTACAATTTCAAAATTTCTCAGCACAATGTCTAAATACCAGGACACACACTGAAATACTCAGCTGCACAGTGATGCTCACACTCGTCACATGCACGCACGTACATAGAAGCGCACAGTGTAAATGTAAAGTTCTGCTTTCTTTACAATAATGTAAACTCAAACTATTAAGAATTCACAAACAAAACATCATAAAATCTGGACGACTACTGTATGTATTATTCTGGATCACAGCTGGAACAGTCTGTCCAAATTGCAGTGGGTCTACATCAGTATAGTGTCATTTTTCACAGTTTGTGGTTAAGAACGTGTTGTAACTTCTCTAAAAAAACGATGTACTCTTTTATACATATAAAGATGTTGTTATCCTTGCCACAGCGACAGACTTCATTTTCACTAGCTCTCCTTTGATGTCATATCGGGCCCAGGGTGGTTTCATGTAAAGTACTGTGTGTTGGTTATTTGATGGTTACCTATATTCATGCTTCTCAGTTTCACTGTTGCTCATCTTTGTCTCTATTTACACAAGAACACATGCCACCGTTCAGTGCGCTGCCTATAAAGTGTAGGAGTGCCTGTCTACAGATGTGAGGGTGAAGTTCTGACACTTTGTTTTACTGAAAAATCTAACGATCTCATCTCTAATCAGTGCTTCTCAGATTACATATTGTTAATGCAAAGAATTTTAGCACACAATACACATGTACTAATTAATTATATGCATAAATGCTGTGTGCAGCATTTCAATTACATCTTACTCAAAACAGCTGCATATTTTTGCAATAAAAACACAATACTCCCTTTATGTTCAGCTTTATGTCTTTTTTCGTTAGGGTACTGTCAGTCACAAAAACAAATGGAGTATTTAAGTATATTTTGGAACGTGAGTGGGACATCCAGAACCTCTGATGGATACAATAACCCTAACTGACATAGCACAGTTACTGATGTAATGCAAATGAAGGAGCATACAGTTTGCATCCCCTTCCTTTGAAAAGAGTCAAAGATTTGTTTTTCTCATCAACAACACATTTAAATGCATGTTCATCTAGTACAACTGTTCCTTCATCAATAGAATTAACAAAAATGGTCAGGAAGTACATAAAAATCATATTGTTGCAAATGTTTGCATTCCCCTTTATAAATGTTCTCTAATTCTTGGTATGTCCTCCCTAACCTCCTCCAACCTCTCTGAGCAGCGTTTGTATTCTTTGAAGAGGGCAGTACATAACAGGCTACCAAGCATTCTGGTAGACTTGGAACAAGCATGTTATGAAGAACGGGCTAAAATTACACCTGGGAGGATACAGACGCTGCTCAGAGGGTACCCAAAAAAGTTGGACGAGGTTAAGGAGGACATACAAAGTATTCGAGAACATTTCATAAAGGAGGATACAAACTTTTGCACTGATACGATTTTCATTATGTTATTATAACTTTCGTTTTATACACCTCCTGACCACTTTTGTAACTTCCCTTGATAAAAGACCAGTTGTACAAGCTGAATGTGCATTAAATATTATGTTGATGAGGAAAAACATCTTTCAAAGGAGATGCAAACTTTTTCCACTCAACTGTAATTCAGGCTTTTAGATTCTGGGTTGAGTATCACTTTGAATCTGTCTGTGACATTTTTCATCTGCACTAAAACATTAAAATAAAAACTTCTGACATTTCTGAAAATGTCATGTTGTCATGTTAACATGTGCACATTCATATTGTGTGTCTTTATGTGTGTGTCTGTGTGTGCTACACTTCGAGTGTGTAGCCAACAGCTTTGGCTGAGCTGACACACATCACTATCAAATTTTAAAAAATGTTTAATATTCACAAGCAACATGCACTTTGGACATGTGGAGCATTCAAAGTGAGTTGTGGTTGTACACACTCATATACTGCCTCTTACTGGTCTGAATGTGTGCGCACACATACAGTATTATAAGAAAGTTCTTCACAAAGCTTTACAAAAGTCAGACACATAGCAGGACACTACTGTAAGCGTCTTACCTGGGAGACAAACTCTGGTAATTGGAGGCTGAGTTGCTGCTGCAGGAGACCTTCTGAAAAAGGAAAGAAAGACAGGGAAGGTATTAAAAACAGAGAACAGGCTAACCTACATATAATACATTATAAATCATTTTAATTTAAAGGAATTACAAAAACATTTCTCACTTGGGTGGGTAGTTTGCCATTTTGGGATATAACTATTGCTCTCAGGCAGAGAGCTAGATCAAAATGATGCCACTCTGATTTCTGTCCATTAAACATGAAGATACGATCAGCTTAGCTCGGCTCAATGACTGTAAAAAACTGGCCTGATTGTGTCCAAAGCTAAAAGAATCTGCCTATCCAACTACCTTCCTGGAGTCATGTCATTAGCATGACATTGTCTCGACACAGAAAGCTACTGTGCACAGCCAAAGAATTGTTTCACACAGACCCAGTGTAAAACCACAAGTTGCCATTTTTACACTTTTGCACATTTCAAATAACTGATGCAACATGTTAATGAGTGGTTTTAAATGTGCTGGTAGGCAGATTTTATAATAGAGCCAAGCTGTTTCCCCGTTTCCAGTCTTTATGCCATGTTAAGCTAAGAGTCTCCCAGCAGCAGTCTCTTATGTAGCATATAAAAATGAGCCTTGAATCAATCTCATCCCTCTGGAAAAAACTAAAACCTGTATTTCCCCACAAATCAAACTATGGCATCAGTTTATACTCAAGTTGAAACAGTTTTTTAAAAAAAAGATCAGACATGTAGTTATGGAACCACATGTACTTTTCATTAAGTTTTTAAAGGTATTGTTATTGTAATAGCAGTAGTTTAGACTGGCACAGTGGTTTGTTTCATAATCACATTTTGCATCCTGTATATCCACCAATCATATACTGAACAGTATGTCCATGTATTATTTAACAGTAATGCGGAGCCAATCCCGGCCGGCAATCGGGTGAAGGTGGGGTACACCCTGGACAGGTCGCCAATCCATCGCAGGGCTAACACATAGACGAACAACCACACACACACACACTCCTATGGGCAATTTAGAGACACCAATTAACCTAAGTTGCATGTCTTTGGACTGTAGGAGTACCCGGAGAGAACCCACGCAAGCACGGGGAGAACATGCAAACTCCACACAGAAAGGTCCCAGGTGGGGCCCAAACCCGGAACCTTCTCGCTGTGAGGCAACGGTGCTAACCACTGTGCCACCTTGCTACTACTGCTATTACAATAACAATACCATTAAAAACTTAAAATATATTTTATGTAGTTTTGTTGTGACTGATTGACAGAACAATGCTCAATGCCTAAGTGAAAGTGTCATATGGATTGAAACAGTGATTTCATGAAATTAAATTTCCTTCCAAACCTATGTTTTCAGGCACTGTATGTGCTTTCTTTGTGGTGTATTCTTAATTAAAAGCCCATCCAGCGACAGACAAAGGAAACTAGCTTGGGTTATAAATAATGTGGCATGTGGCACCGGTCAATGTTCTGCACTTGCCCCTAACATTTAACACAGTCAGAATAAGGTGTCATCAGAACAGACTTAACACTGTGCACAATCTGTTTGTATGTGTGTGAAAGAGAGTGACACCTGGAGAGTGGACACCTGACAGCCGACTGATCGATTCCCTTTCAGCGGGTACTCACTGATCATGTGCCTGATCTCGCCTGTTTGGAACTAGTTCAATATTTGTGTGCATTAACATGTTGGTCCATGCCTGTGTAGTTGTGTATGTGAGTCTCTGCCTGAGTCTCTGCTCATGTCTAATGTAGGTCAGACAGGCTTTAGATATTAAATACAGCAGCCTGTGGAGAGAGTTCTTAGCATCTTTAGAAACCGACACACACATTATATATACATATACATACACACACACACACACACACACACACACACACACATATATACACATAGTGTATAAGCCTTCACAGTGAAGAATAGCGGGAAAGGTGCCTACATATTTATTTCCAGTGCATCTGCAGTCTCACCTCCACTGGGAGGTGTGATGCTGAAGGTGACCGCTGCTGCAGCTTTAAATAAATGTGTTGCTTTCATTAGGCTCATGAAAAATGCGGACTATTTTTACAAAACTATGGACAACACTGATGGGAAAAAGCTCTACTATGGAAATACCTTTACTTCACAAATAAACATATAAGACAGTGATCTGGATAAAGAAATGAATAATTGAAACTGGAGTGTATTAGTGAGAGAAAGCTATGGAAAGTTTTTAAAAAAAACAAAACTGGTTAATTAGCACCAAACAAATTGAGGACACTGATGGGTTAAAACCACAATGTATATATTGATAAAGCTTTTCATTTTTTCCCAACTGCAATTCATTATATGAGACACTTAAGTAACAGAATAAATGCAGTGGGGACAACAAACGCTGCATACCAGCCGGGTGTTCCATCTGTGTGAGTATTGATCAAGTGATCGTGCTTCACTACAACAAAGAAATTCCCTTATAGAGCATTTTATTTAAGATACTTTAAAAGAGCAGTGATGGTTCTAAACTTGATACAATCCCACTGAAGAGAATAGACATCTTTGTGTGTGTGTGTACAAGGCGTATGCTGGGTTTGATTATTGGACTATTTTAACCCATGCTGTAAATACTGAACTGTGACTGCAGGAAACAGCTGTGGTGTCATACGTTACCCTGCAGTTCATTTAAAGCTCAATACCGCCACCCTGTGCTGAATTCATGGAGCTGCGGACTAGAGCTGACTAAAGGAGCAATCAGCGCTTTATATGCTTTTAAAAAACTGCAAAGAGGCAAAAACCTGTTTCTGAAGAAGGGACAAGTTTGCTACATTTCCATTTCTATGAGATTTACTGTATTATGTCTAAGAGTCATTTGTGCCTAAGAGTCTAAGACTCAAATGTGAACTCCTAGCAGATAAATGAAAGAGTATGACACCCATTTTTAAAAGGCCCTCTGTGAAATTTTGACCATTTTAATTTAGAAGCTTGCTTACTTGCTGGAGGCACACTGGACATTGGTCAGTACTGTGAAGTTATTCCTTACACTTCGAAGGCTTGCCAGAACCTAGACAGACAGCGAGAAAGAGGAAAAGCAAAAGAGTTACTTTAAATAAGATTTAGCACTGCAGTGTTTCAAATCTGTGTCAAACAGGAGAAAATATCATACACTACTGTGCAAAAAATTCAGGTAATTCAGATGTTTACATCTAGGGAAAATCATCCAGCAGCATAACAACAAACATACAGAGTCATCTTCAGTGTCAAGAACCGAAGTAGTCCTGCAACAGATGGTGTGGCCTCCACAGAGCCATGATCTCAGCATCGTCAAATCACTCCGGGGGTTCGTGGAGAGACCTTGAAACACATTGAACAACCTACCTACTGTACTGTAGGAGAACAACTGGTTCTTAACTGGCTTTAATTTGATTTAGTTTTTTTTTCCTTTGTTCACTGATAAATAACGCTATAGTTTTTGGGATCATCCTCTCTTCAGTTGTAGTGCTTATAACAACAAGCTGAAGTCGGGACATTACCATTATTGCACGATCAGTTTTGGCAGCTGTACTCTCAGAGCCCCCGCTGCAGTGTACAAACATGGGGATAGTGGGAGAAAATTTTGAGTGAGATATTTACCTGAGCAAAAGGCGTCACAATCAGGTCATCACCATGTCTGAAAACACAAAACAGAGAGACCGTTTAAGAAACGTGCTCAAATATGATCCCCACCAGGCATTAGCCTCTACTGTTAAGTGAAGTTGATGTGCTGAGCTCTTTCTGCCCGCTGGAATATGACCACAATGTTAACAACTATAAGCAACGATGACCATGACACCGCTGGCTTCATTACTGTAATTAATGGAAAGAGATGGCGTCCACAAAGGGAGCAGAGGATGGGAGAATGGCCCTGGGTCAAAAACAGGAGTCTTGTCTCCAGTTGGGATGCAACTTCGTAAGGCACTTAGCTCTAACACTAATCTATTTTTGTAAACTAGGACAAGGCAAACATTCTTCGGTGGGTTTCAAACCATAATCGTGCAACAGCTGGAGTCGTATAATGGTCAGTGAAGGGACTGGTTCCTCCATCAGAACTTCCTGCCTTTACTTACTTTAGTTTATGTATTAATTATGGCTAGATAATAATTTAATAGTATTGTCTACTTACTGTGAGTGGACTTGTAATAATGTAATAATCTGATCATATTACGCTATGTACAGTTGTACAGTATGTACAGTTTGTAAAACCCTCTAAGGCAAATCTGACAAAAAAGAAACTAATACCTTTTTTAAACACAGGTTTTAAACACATCTACAGGGAGTTTAGACAATAACCTGCCTCTCTTTGGACTGTGAGAGGAAGGCGGAGCAGCCAAAGAAACCCACATAGGGACGGGGACAACATGCCATTTTTTATTTTTTATTTTAACTCAATACATAATTTTGTAGTGCATTTAGGTCGAGTCAAAAATATCTGGCTGAACTTGTCCAGGCCAATTTGAGTAACTGCACTGTTTGACTTGAAATTTTAGTTCAGACTTAACTTAATGATTTTTTAGAATTAGATTTTTCTTTTCTTAATTTTGCCTACTAGAATTTTTATCTGAAGTTGTGAACCCTAAAAATTTGAATCTTGAAATTGTAGAATTCAGACTACATCAATTCAGACAGATAGTTCTCAGAATCAAACACTGCAGTGCTAGAAAATCAGACCATACATGGTGTTTAAACTACTTGTGAAAAGATATAGAATTTCCCCAGTTTTTATTTTTTCACATTTAAGCTCTTCAGGGTTTCATCCTACAGCAGGATAATGAGTCAAACCTGAACAGTGAAAGCAATGCAACCTACAAGTGCAACACATTTGTGGGAACTTCTGCAACAGTGCTACAGTATCTACTGTGTGCAAACAATGTTTTGCTTCAGTTTGTAAAAAGAATATCACAAGTAGGTTCAGCTGCTGAATTACACAAACAGCAACTGGAAAAACTGGGGTGATCAAAAGTTTCTGACCAGTGGTGAAACCTTCAAAAAGTATTCTGTAGTGATTACACAATTCAGTTTCTGCCAAGATTCAAATCGTTATCGCAGTTATAATCTATCATAGTATTTGCAGCCTTGCTTGTCAACTTATTCAATTTCCTAAAATGGGCACATATTGTAAAGCATGCCGGCTATGTGTGTTTGCTGTGCTTATTTCAATGTGTTTCTACTTACAGTTCAGAGGCAATGGAGGAGTTTCGCGACATGGACTTGGGTGACAGATCATAGTCGCTGTCAGAGCGGTAGAGAAAGGACTCTCTGCGCTGGTTGTGAGTGGGGAAGTTAGTGTGGAGGACCAAACCAGAGCCAGGGGAGGTCTGGGAGTCCAGAGGGCTGCAGCTGGCTGATGGGCCATTCTCCACATCAAAACTGAAATGTAAAATGGACCAGTTAATCTATGCAAGAGGATTTTCCAAAAGAAAGCCCTACCAGACACTCTGGAGCTGGCTGCAGCTGCAATACTATAGTATTTACTATACAGTATTATCCTGTTCTAAAAAGTACTTCAACAGGCTTTTACTTTGATGAAAACCTTCACTGTCCATACAGTAGATGGTGTTTTAGCACAGCTCCCTGTGTCGACTCAGTAACTGCAGTGATTCTTTAAACAAATTACAGCACATCTGGAACTGAATGGGTAATAATTCTCATGTTGTTTTATCCCCAGGGAAAGTGAGATATGAAAGACAGAGGCAACTTTTTAGCACAAATGATGTGAGTTTGAGGCCAGACAAACATAATGAAGCTCGATATTAGAGCAAAAAGTTCAGTCTGTAATAAAAACAGAAACAAAAACAGAGATTTATGGGCTGAGATTTTAGATATGTAGTCTCAAAGTACACAAATCACAAACTGTAAAGTAATACAATCAAAATCAATGCCAAGAAAACAAGTCACAGTAGTTTTAAGGGACTTTTTTTAAAAGCATGCACAGATTTGGCTACTGTCAAACAATGTGAGAAGCTGATACAAAGCTGAGGAGCAACAACAGCAAAAACACAATCAATAGTTTTCAGCCTTGACCTTGAAACAACCTGAAGTCCCTGCTCTGAAAATCTGAGGCTCCTCCCGGTAGTGAGAGGGTAAAACAGCTCTTTGAGGTACAGAGTGTCCACACAAACCCTGGATGTCAAAGGTTAAATTTTGATCAGGCAGTGACAGGGAGCAGCTAAACCTGTGAAACTAAAATTGTTTGGCAAGTGGGAAGCTGCAAAAACCATCTTTCAGCTAAAACACTGCCTACATTATGATACTGTAGGGGTATTTTTTCTTTAAATTACATGCACTCCATTGTCTAACCCAGCAGGTCTACATTTGGTGTGATATGTTAAAAAAAAACTGAAGAACATAAATCCACAGAAAGCTGGGATTAGCTACTCTTGCTGCCTGAGGAAGAGGAATTTGACAGCTACTTCAATATTTTCTGTCGGTCATAACAGGATACTACAATTAGGGCAAAGCATTTTTAAATTTCCTGTTCCTTGTCTGTTTCTAAACATTTCACAATGGTGCATTAAATAGGAAAAATGAAGGTTAAAACATGTTTGTGCTTTATACATGCATACACACGCATGCCTGCAGTAAATGCTTGGCTGCTCTACCCTCAGGTCAATCCACGGCTGTGTGTGTTATGACACGTAGAAAAAAATTCATCTGGAGCCAGTTCGGGCAAGTCTAGTCAGCCACAACATGCACAGCGCCCAAAAGCTTCGTCTTTCTCTCTTAGCTTCTGTGAAGGACAGAAGCCACACATGACCTCTGTAGATGAAGATGAAGCACCAAGGAAATTCAAAAGGACGACATTTTTACAAGATCAGGAAATGTCTTCCAGACATATCTGTCCAAAAAAGGCTTTCAGTTGAGAACATGTATTTGTTTGGTGAGCCTGCTCTCACAAACCAGGCTCACCGAAAAGAAGCAACTAAGTACTGAGACCTAGTAAGTACAAGGCGCAACACACAGTGTAAAAATACAAGCAAGTCCTGAACTGTAGTAAGTGTAGTGAGTTACTTTACAGAAGTACACATGGAATGTTTAGAGCTACTGTCCGTTGTTAACTTGCACAGCCTCTGCTAACCCAACACATCAGCTCCTGCTGTAGCTGACCATGAGATGAGCCACATCCTCATGAGAGGCTTCACAGTCACTTGAGTCATGTTCAAAGGTAACAGCTGGGGTACAGGTGTCATGATGGAGCTTTATGTTATGAGAAACTGAACAAGCAGCTGTGTCACAGCCCTTCCCCCTCTCCCACAGGGCGGATGGCTACAGTGTTTTGTAAGCAATAGATGTCCAAGTATAAGAATGAGAAGTGATGACAATGATGAGCAAGATTTCCAAGAGGCAAACATAACACCATATATGGTTTGATTAATATTGCAAAGCCTAAAATATGTTTATTGTATGATGTTTTATTTATGATCCTCACTGAGAGGCTGGAGCAAGCAAAAAACAGGAGACTGTTTCTGTCTGAATAACTATTTCAGCACTAATGATCAGTACAGTGTACCGTAGCAGTGATCCACATCGTGGGTACTGTGCTACTATGGAGCGCTTTGAACATGAGTCAAGGATGCGCAAAGTTTTATTTCCATTTTTTAAATTACCTTCCAAAAAATGAGAGAGATATTTACATTGGCTTCAAAATTAAAGAATAAAAATCTTCGACCCCCTCAAGTTCATCTCTAAGTTCCCAATTGCAGAATTAAGACTAGGACATGTTCAAAGCCCTGAAAAGCTACTAAGTAGACCTTCAGTAACTACTGAAAGGTGAAAAATAAGCTCATTTATCATATCGCCATGCCTTTACATTGGTCTATTTAGCAGGACAAAGAAGGGATATACAAGAACGTACCCTTAACACAAAGACTGACCTTGGGACAAATACCCTCTGTATAAAATGGGGTGTCTGTGTCCCTCCAACCATTGTCTCATGCTTTGAACAGTGTCTACAAAATAACATTGATCTCAGTCCTTGCAAATCAACCGTAGTTGTAAATACCAGCTCTCGTTCTGTCAGAGAGAAGCCGGTCATCTGTTCAGAAACAGGATGAGAACTGAGGCCAACTGCTTTACTGCAGTGATAAGCTCCCCAGGTAGAGGGGAAATAATCAGTCTAGTTTGACTGTAAGGAATCTGGCAATGTGTGAATAGGGGTTGAAAAGGATCAGAGCTTCTCAGTATTTCATGACACACAGCTGTGTTTATATTTTTTGAAGATGACGGTAATATGTCTTGTGTAACCTTTTAAAGAACCACAGAGGGCACTGATTCATGGGCACACATTGCTAATGGACATCTATTCCAATTAGTTATGAGATCAGTCATGTTTTTAATGTTATGTTTGACTTAAGCAATCAGGAAGTGTTCCCTGTGACCCCAGAATGGTTTGTTAGGATGACACCACATTCCTTTCCCAGGGTCCAGCTGCATCAGCCTGACTAATGAGCAGACTGGAGAGATGGACCAGCCAAATGGATGACAGACTTGGTGACAGAAGTAGAGAAGTTCTCTCATCGATCATATCCAATGGCCATTTGTCCACATACTGAGTGGTCAGGTATACCTACAAATAATTACCTGTTTTATGAAAACAAGCCAGCTGGAGTGCAGCCTGTCTCAGCTGAGAGCCGTGACAGACTGTTACGTTTCTGCATATCAATAAGGACAAGGACATCAGCCTTACTGTATATCGGGCTATGTGATTGTGCTCACACTGCTAATGTACACTGATGGAAGTAAGGAATCATCTCAGAGGTGTGTTTTCTTTCCTCATTATAATATTAACTCATGGGTACATAGGGTCAACCAGTCAAAGCCAAATTTATACTAAATCCTGAGACTACCACCAGAGACTAAACCAAACGTCAGACCAGCTGTAGATCTAAATCAAAATTTGAAAACTCAGACATTAAAGCTAGACAGAGACTAACCTCCGGCCTGTTTTATTCTTTTTCTTTCTTTTTTATAGTCTCCATTAACAATCCAGTGGATTTGTAGTGAAGCGGCTGTTACCGTTTTATATTTCAATATCCAGAATAGCAAAACTAAAAAACAGCCAGGAAAAGAGAATAAAGATACAGTAGCAATGATGGATGGAAAGGACTGTGACATGTTATTTTCCTGGGAAATGACTCAACTTCCCAAGTGTGAGACAAAGGTGTTGTTTCAGGTTGACTATCAGACTAACTCTTCATTTACTGGTAGAGCGAGACGACTCAGTATCCTGTGTGTTCGTAGGTCACTGAGATGGATTTTGGCAAATAGGGAATCACAGGGCTGACAGAGACAGACAATCACACGCACTCACTCCTATGGGCAATTAAGAGTCACCGATCAACACATGCCAAACTCGGAATCTTTTTGCTGTGAGGCAACAGTGCTAACCACTTGACCATTGTGCTGTGTTTACACTGGTCCCATAGCTTCTCACGCTACACATACTGTAGTAACAATTTTCACACAGATGAAAATAGAAGACCATTGGCCTAATCCTTTAATTAATTCAATCACAGAACAGCCAGTTCTCAAGTCATTGTTGCTGAGGGGTCTAGTTTGCAGTGGTGTGGTTGGACAGGTTATACTGTAGCATAAGACTGTTTGGCTCACAAATAAACTGTAAATATAACACCGACTGATTTCACTATTTAACAAGGTGCGATGCACTTGTTGGCAGAGTTCAGTTTTGTGAAACAAGACACCTAAATAGACCCACTCTCAAAATTAACTCTCCCCTGCTCTTCAGATGTTTGTTGTTATTAAATTGCAAGAAATGAGAAACTTACTGATCAATGAGAAATAACCTGAAAATCTCTTTTATAAGCTAATACCGCTGCACTGTTGCCAGTGAGTCTGGGTCACAGGAGGTTTCAACAGCACCTGGCAAGGCAAGTTTTGGAGCTTATTTCTACAACAAAAACATTTGAAAAAAAGTGATGTACTGTATCTTTAACTGCTGAATAATGCTACATCTACAACACTAGTCACCTCTTTCCTGAGTAAGCTAGAAAACAAAAAAAGTTGGTTAAGAAGAAACTGGTGCTTTCTAATGAGAGAACCGCAGAGTGTCACAGATGGAGAGAAAGCATTCTCATGCTGTGAATTAATCTCTTCCTTCCTGTGTGAGGGAAAACCAGTGAACATTTCTCTGTCAGGTTATGTCAACTAGATGCCATGGCAACACCTCCTGTTTATCCTAGTGTTAGCCAAGGTTTAAATATTATTTTGTCAGCACACACTTGAATTGGATTTTGTTCTGTTATTAAATGAACATTTCAGCTAATGTTAACAATTTTGTGGCTTGAAAAATCTTATAAAAACCATCTGTTCCACTACATTATTAGCAGAACGTTTTGTAACAGGGTACTGAA